GAAGCCGGCTTTGCCATAGTTACTTTTGGACTCGAGTCCTGCTGAGAGGTTGTAGTTGTGACTTAGAGCCAACAGCCTGAGGATCAGCGCTCTTATTAACTCTGTAAGGTAAGGTGATCAGGCTGTAAGAAGCTTCCCCTTCCTTCTCCGCTTTATGGCTGTATTTCTTTTTGGGATTCTTCAATAGTGGTAGAGTTGTCTGTATTTTCTGCATCTCTTTCCTGACAGACTCTTGATGGATCCCTACTCTTTGTTAGCTGGTTAAAAAGAAGAAATGAGTACCATTTAGAAGAGGAATCTATTTTAATAAATGCAGTAGGTTAGATTTTTTTTTTCCCCCTCCTTTGATCATTGGGGTTTTATTTTCCTCAGAAGTGATGATGAATCAGAGTCATAAGGTTTAGATCAAGAGATGACTCTTCAAAAAACTGTTTTCAAGTAAAACCTTAATTCTGATTTTTATCTCAGTGCTCTATGTGCTGTACATAATTTTCATCAGGTGAATTTAAGATCCTCATTATAAGAAGATCTTGAAATTGGTGTAAAAGGTGTAAAATAAATTGTTAGCTTACTTTTAAAAGCTAGCAATACCACAACATTGTATGAATTTAATGACAACTAGCCCAGAGATGCTTAGGTAATTCACACTCTCTCTGAAGTTAGTTATGTGCTAGTATATAAAGCCTGAATTGTTACAAGGGTTACAGAAGTTGCTGTGAAGTTGTGATTAAATCCTGTGGTGTGTTGAGCATCATCAGTCTTGTTGGTGCCAGTTAGAGTGAAGGGCTCTGAACACCTCAGAGGACTCGGGCACATCTTGAGAAGAAGAATTATTAGTTGTTTTGCTGTGCCTCTCAACCCCAAGATTTTGAAGCGGATAGCAGATGGCACTCTTTGAGGCCTCATGCAATAAAGTATTTGTTAATTGTTTATGTTTAGAAGGGGGTTTTTTTAGGGCTAACTAGTGCGAATTGGTGGTACGTATAAATACCGGTATTTCATCTGCTCTTGTACAAAGCTACACAACCCCAGCTGCGTGCAGTACGTTATGCCAGATTGTCAGACAATCGCTATCATGGGCAAACAGTGCTCCAATATATTTTGTGCACGTACTGTATGAACATCCTCCCCTTTCTTTCCTAGCAGACTGATTTTTCACATAAGATTGAATTGCTATTTTTCTAATCTCTTAAAGAAATCTTTCTTGGCATGTTCAGTAGGTCACTATGAATAATGTGCTTTTCCGTTTGGCAGCCAGACTGGAAAACTGGGGGAAGGGGGAGGAGAGAGAAAGGCAAGAACTAATTACGTTCAGGGATCAGACTGAAACTAACACTTTAATTTTCTAACCAAATGCAAAAAAACCCTAGCACATTATTTTGATGACAGTCATCCCTTTTAACCTTAAGAACTTCTCACTGTGCTTGTAAGAAAAGCTAGGGGTGTGGAGGGCTAGATGCGCAAGACTGAAATGGTATTAATGGCATCCTGACTTTAGCCCAAGGTTTAGGGGGAAAAATATATTGGAGGCAGAGTAAGGGTATGAGAATACCTGTGGTTGGAGGGCCTAGGTTCAAGCCTTTCCTAGTGGACATTTAGGTGGCAGAGCACAGCAGAAGAGGAACAGAGCGCTTCTCTCCTGAACGTGGCATAGCCAGGACGGTGGGGCTGCCCTCCAAAGGGTGCTCAGTTCATTTTGCGTTTCTCATGATTACATCTGACCTTAGGCCTGGTTCCTGGACTCTTAGGCCTGGTTCCTGGACTCGGTCAGCTCTCCAGTAGCCCAGAAACTGTTTTCTAAACACCTCTATTCAGACTGAGCTCATAGGTAATACTGCTTCCCCGTCCCCCCTAGGCGTACCCCAGCCCCAGCAAGTGTACTGCTTTGTGATAAATGCAATGCAGCTGTAGGAGTCAGTGCTTGGTCCGTTCTGTGCATGGCTTCAGGGTCTTCACTGTTGTAAAACCCAGTGACATTTGAAGTGGATGGCAGCTACTTCAGATCCCAGCTCTGCAAAAAGGAGCGAAGTTGGTAACCTTCAGCAGTCCCTCTGGGAAGCATTTGCCCATCTGGAAACCGGTCTGGTTCCCCCTGGCTATACTGGGAGTTGGAAGGAGACTTGGTGTCAGTGCCATTTCCTAACTCCCACACTCATCCCAACTCACTAGCCCTTATTCTGTACACCTACCTTGTAAGAGTTCGTGTTACCAGTGCTTTATCTTCTTCCTAAGATAAGTGCTTCCACACCCATGGGATCTTTAAACAGCCAGGCCGATGCAGGGATTTGAGCGGGGGTTGGAATAGGGAGGGGGCTGAGAGTTGTGCTTGATGTGGGAGCTGGTGATTGATGTGAATCTCCAGGGCAAGCCGGGCAAGCCAGCACTCCCTCTTCACACCTATGGAAATGAACAGTTTGCCAATGAACTAGTGAATCAACTCCTTTGCTCCCACATGTATATGCTATATGGGAGAAGAGGAGACAGATGGCAGTTACTGGTACTGCCTTGTTTTCTCTTGTGTTTGTGGCTGAGGGACTTGCTGGGAAGTAGGAAAGGAATAAGATTTACCCCCTCCCCAACCTAATCAGAAGAGTAGACTGTAACAACTTCTACAGTCCTCCATGGGACTTGAAGCTGTTTCTGTTTGAAACAAGTGAATCTGCTTCTACTTGGTTATTTCTGCTGGCACCAGTGGGGAAGCAGCACGTGTAAGAGCAGCACAGCAGGGGGATCACATGGGGAGGGAACAAATGTGGGAGACCGTGGGGCACGTGCAGGGTGCTGAGGCGCAGTAAGCGACGCTTGTGGAAATGGAGTGGAGTGGTACAGTGGAGGGAGCGCTGAACAAGCGAAGGGCTGGCCGGTTCACATAGCTCCTAGCTTGTCGGAAAGAACATGTTCTTGAACCTGTCTTTCTGCACAAAGACCTGTAGGCTGTGTTTCTGAGTTACAAGAGCATGCAGATAGTTTCACTGGCTCAGGCCAAAACTCCATCTAGCACCCTGTCCTGTTTCTGACAGTGGCTAAAAGCAAAAGCCTTTGCAGACTGTATTGGAACAGGACGGAGGTACCTCAATGCTTCCCCAAATTAGTCTTCCAGCCCTTAGCAGATTTGGTTAAATTTTACTTCCACGAGTGGAAGTAGAACTTCTTCCACTCCAATCACTTTGAGTCTCTAAAAACTTCTGGTGTCATGTCGTCTTGTGGCATGCTTAATTGCAGGTCGTGTGGAGAAGTATTTCCTGACTTGTTCAGAAACTGGTATTTGCCAGTTGCAATTGCTGTCCGCTGGAGCTCTTATTGGAAGGTGCTATGCACTGTGTGTTCCTCTTTACCTTCCTGATGCTGTTCATAACTCTGTAGACCTGCACTGTATCCTACCACAGTTCTCTTCTCCAGGCTGAAGGTCCTTGTCCACTTGTTCCTCATGCAGAAGCCATTTCTTTTCTTTGACTGTTCTGGTATTCCTTCTTTTTTTTTCCCCCCTAAATCTCCACATCCATTTTAATGTAAGGAAACTAGAACTGCACATTGCGTTCAAGATGCAGATACACTGTGGATTTATACATTGCCATGCAATGTCTTCTGTTTTGTTCGCTATTCCTTTCCTGGTAATACCTTTGTTTTTGGCTGCTCCCAGGCACAGAACTGGCATTTTCACAGAACTGTCTAATAAGGCCCAAATCGTGTTCATCAGGTGTATGTCACCTACCATGTGTGCAGAGTTAGGATTGATTTTTTTTTTTTTTTTCCCCCAGTATGTTTGTTTCTTCATATTTATCAGCTTAGACTTTTACTGCCGTCTGGTAGTTGGACCTGCTCGTAAAGCAGCACGCACAGCAGTGGTATTTTATGCTTGGGCATGCTGCTGCCATGGCTGCACTGACTCTCTCTGCCTTGCCCAGCAGCATTGTCTCTTACCAGAATAGATATCGCTTGCACTGAAACTGAGCTCGTATTACCTGCTACAGGCCAACTCCTGATGAACTTCCTTAGTTTCAGTGTGTTCCTGTTCAGGCAAAATTCTCTCTTTTTTTTTTTTTTTTTTTCTTGTATGCAGGAAGGCAGATGACTCCATGCCCCTTTGTACCTGTCCTTGCAGCAAAGAGCTGGTGAATCATTTCCTTTTCTATGTTTTAGTAAAATTATGTTGTTAAGAATTCATTTATAGTGTTTTAATGTTTTGAACACTTGCAGTGTTCTCTTTATTCTTTCCTGCAATTGTCAAAAGGTTGGAATGTTTTTATCTCAGTCCCAACAGTTGCTATTACTTGATCAGAAGTGTTGCGGTAGCTTTGTGTCTATTAGTGCAATTTAAATTTTTTCCCTCGTTTTCTAGTCAGTCTTTTTATTTCTGTTGTACGTTGGTCTCAGTGTTGTTTTTTTTTTTTAAACATGACTGCATATTTCTATCAGTAAGAGTGGTCTTTTAAAAACGGGAGCCAAGGCACAGCTCCTAGTACCTTTAGACCTTGTAAAGTTTTGCTCAGTGGACTGTAAAGCTAGAGCAGTACTAAAAATTTTGGTTCTAGTTCAGAGTTTTGAATAACAAACTCTTATTAATCCTGGGACTTCTGCACAGTGAGCTGCTGCTTTGTGCGCTTAGTTGTTTGAGAAGGAAACTGGTATGTCAGGAGAGAGAAAGATATGCATTGCTCTTAATTAGGTGGAGCTGGATGCATTCTTGGAAGCCCCAGTTTTCATTTAAATATTGACTGCAGTGAGAGTAGTTCTGTTTGGAAAGTGGAGGTTGACCTAGCTTGTATATATTGCTTCTGGGTTGTCAAAAAAAACCCAGAAAGTCTATGCACTAGAAGAGACCTGGCAAGAGATGTATTTTCACTATTCTTTTTACAGTCTACTTAATAAGCTAAAAATACTGGTATGTAAACTGAAAGAGCATGGGGAAAAACCCTGGAGATCTGCTTAGGGGTACTAATCACATGGCTATGTAACACCTTTTCAAACAAACAAAAAAAAAAAACAGAAAAAGGAAAACAGGGCCTTGAAAGGGGCGAAGATGGCAGTAGGCTTTTATGGGCTATATATAATAAACTGTGACATTGTTTCCAGCTGAGCAGTGTTTGCCTGTAGTGTGGAGTGGCATAACTAGGAGTCAAGGCGTTTTCCCAAAGCTCCTTTCTTTCCTGAGATTGTTTCATATCTGCCCTTATTGTTATCTATTGTGTTCACATTGTTTTTTTTTTCTGTTAGTCTATTTTCCTTCCTTGTTTTTAAAGAACAGCTTATCTGTATGCCCCAGAAGGGCGTGACTCATAAAGATCACAAGCTTTTAGAACAAGCAAAGGCACAGCCTGCTGACTAGAAGAGAACATGCTGAGGTTTTCAGACACAAGTGCCACATCGCGTTTGCAGAAGGCAGCAACTGCGTCCTGAGATGCACGCTGCCGGGGTTCTGCCGAGTTCCAGAGCTCGCGTTTCCACCATCGACTGGCAGGTATATTTACACATCGTATCACCTTGGAGAATAATTACTCTTGTGTTTCAGTATTCTTTATCTCTGCTGCCTTGTTCTGTGAAGGGCAAAAACACTAGAACATAAAGGTATTTTTGGACGCACAGGATACGTGTCATCAGTGACTAGAGCACAAGCCTCGGAGTCAAAAATGAGTCTTCATCTGAGCTCTGCCATGATCTGAGTGACCTTGGTCAAACCGCATAAGGTCTTTTCACTTGCCTCACTTATATTAAATATGCATACACGCTTTTTTCATGGGATTTGAAAAGCTTGTAAAAGATAGTATTCTTTCTGTTTGTGAGTCTTAAAGTACGTTGCTCAGATGGCTGAGGTATAAACAATAGCTAAAGGAGATGGCTAGCACCAGTTTGTCTTTATTAATCCATGTATTTATTTTTTGCAAGGCAACTTTACAATGGATGACAGAGCAGACTCTTTGCTGATGACTGTACATCTTCTTGCCAACTCGGGACGTTCATCGCTTCTGCAGCAAACCCTGGATCGGCTTTTGGAGTGGATTTGCCCGGACATTCGACTTTTCCTTGTGTCCGAGCGTGTTACGCCTTTGAAATACTGTGAGAGGTATCGTAAGAGAAGCTGTGGATTTCCTGGAACGTCTGTTCTCCTTTTTCTACATGAGGACTTTGGAGAAGAACGGATTTTCCAGGTCCATGATTTCTTCCAGCATCCACCATGGCGCTACCAGTGTGTCCAAATTGCTAATGGGCAAAGCCATCCCTATGCACCCGCTAGCCAGGACTTTTATGGCCTAGATGACCAGATGCCGGTGTGGGGCATCAGGCAGGTGCACTGTGGCTCTGAAATTTTGCGTGTGACCCTCTACTGCAGTTTTGATAACTACGATGATGCAGTGAGATTGTATGAGATGATCCTACAGAAAGAAGCAACTGTGCAGAAAACTAACTTCTGTGTCTTTGTGCTGTACACAACAAAAAACATTACTATTCAGCTCTGCTTGAAGCAGCTGCCCATTGGAGTTTCTGTTGAGCCGAAAGAATCATCACTCTTGCAGTTCAAGGTGCAAGAAATTGGGCAGCTGGTGCCTCTCCTGCCTAATCCATGTATTCCTATCAGTAGCACCAGATGGCAAACGCAAGATTATGAAGGAAATAAAATTCTACTCCAGGTATGTGTGCTTTTTGAGAAGTGATTTTTTTTTTTTTTTTCCCAGCAGAGACCAGGAGTGGCTCAGAATGGAAATTAAGATTTTTTACTTGCCTGTATTTTCTTTTGAATTTGACTGAAGTCAAATTTGAATTTGACACTCAGTATCTGCTTGTGCTGTGATGCCATTGATAAATATAAGCACAAAAACTTGGAATATTCAGTGTTGTTAATTTTAACACCGTAACTGCTTGCGTGAAATTGAAAGTATTGATCCTTTTTTTGAGCAGGCTAGTTTAACATCTTCCCTTCCATGCCGGCATCAAATGATTGTGACAACCTGTTCTTTCTTTCTGATAAGTTGGTAACTTAGAAATGTTTTTGAAAGCAGATTTTTGCACGCAAAACTGTTTGTTTTTGTAGGTACAGTCTTGATGCAGTATTGCCTACATTTGATTTTTGTGAGCTCTTGAGTGAATTGTGGTGGGGCAAAAGCGCAGAGTACATGCATCACAGCAGTTCTCTCCCTTTCTGTTCAAGTGTGCAGTCCAGAGGTTGTCTGAATACAGATCAATAAGAACAGACAAAAAACTTGTGCGGAGGTGATGCATACTGTGAGTTACACATATGTGCAAGGATGGAGGGAGTTTAGCTCAGTGTGGTATCTCACAGAGAGTGTGTAACAGTCCATCCCCCCTCTTGACGTTTTTTTCTTCCCCTCAGTTTGTTTAGCCTGCTCTGAGAGCGTGCTCCTGTCTCTGATTTGGTAGTGGTCATCTCTGTGTGTCACTGAGGGCTATTTTCAAGTCCTTTTCAAAGATGTGTGGCTTATTTGAGGTAGGGGCTACATATCTTGAAATTAGTACTCTTGAAAATGTGCATCCTTCTTTTGAAGGACATCTGTAATTTGTTTGACTCCCTCACCCTGGACTCACTTAGGTGGCACTCTTTCTATTAGAGCAAAAAGGAATATAAATTGATGTCACCTGTAAGAGTTGAGTGTGAAGTCTGGGGTTGGTTGGCTCTGCCCTGCACTGACTGAATTTTTATTTGAAGCATTAACTTAAAATTAAATGGTGACTTCCAAATGGCATTTTGAAACGCAGAATCCCAGTTAGTATTTTTCTTTTTATCCCACACCTTTTTTGTTATAATTTGGTTATTTAAATAATTTGGGTTTTTTTTGTGTGGCCTTTTTTTTTTTTCTTCCCCTTCCAGAGTCGCTTTGTAAACTAGTTTGCAACCTACTTCGACTGGACAAGGCCCTGAGCCACTTCACATAGCTCTAAGGTTGGCCCAGCTTTGAGCAGGGGACTGGACCAGGTGACCTCCAGAGGTCCTCTCCTAAATTACTCTGTCGTTCTCCCAGTTATAGATGCCAAGTCTTTGAGTGACAGACATACATGAATTCCCTGGCAGGAGATTCAAAAGTTTTTTTGGGGTATGTAACCGTGTCATGTTGCGCTCCTGTCAAGGGAAGCTGGAGCTCATTTGAACTTGACGATGTCTATTCCGTGTTCACGTTTCAAGCCACATGGCAATACACTGGCAGCCTGGCACACGGGGCTTTACTCTGCAAGTATTCGGCTCATGCCAAGTACCAGCCAAAAGCTGGTAAGCTATAAGCTTTCTGCCCTAGTGCAAACCAAATCCAAGGGTCTATTTGTGGACTTCTATTCACAGTGAATTGTCATTTTTCCCTGACATGCAAGAATTTTTTTTGTTTTGTTTTTACTGGGGGACAGAGAACTTGCAAGTCGCTCAGTTTGACAGAGAAGTAAATAAACCACATCCTTTCCTTCTTGCCTAAGTTACTCACTAATTACTGTTCTAGTTTGTGTCCTTTTTCTCAGCGTTTATAGGAGATCCCTATTGCCCAAATTGTACAAAATTAATCTAAGACAGTCATGTTAACAGCTGACTATACTGGGTACTGCGGATTTCAGAGTTATCTGGTTTATTCATTCATGATCAGCTGATTTATTCATTGACTTCTTTTTGCCTAGGTATTAAAACAGGTAGGGATTGTTGTTGATTTTGTGCTACTTTGCAACAACTTTAAAATGAAGGTCTTAATAAGTAGAAAAAAAAATCTGGTCTGAATGGCAGCATGATGGTTCCTTTTGATCTGTTCTGTTCTGAAACTTGTCTGATTTGCTGTATTGATATTTTTCCTGGAATAGCATCAAACGGAATTGAAATATGTGAGCTCCAGTTAGTTGTGCAATAAAACTACCGAGTGGTGAACACAAGTGCTGGTATCACCCGACCATGGGAACTTCAGTGCTACCTACCAGATACCCTATTTAAACAACTGGAAGGGATATCTCAGTGCTGTGACTAATGTGTTTAGCTCTGGGTCTGTTTACCTGTCTACACCAAAGCTTTGTAGGGTGTTTATTTTGTGTTTGAGAGCCCGTTTCCCCTGAGCATTGACTGCTTCGGAGTAAGACAATCTCCATGTGCTGTTAAGTAAGTAATGACATCGGAAATGTGGCACTAGGTGGGAACCTGTCTCCAGGGTTGATGTCCCTTTGGAACGGGAAGATTCCCTGGAGGAGTAAAGCGTCCGCCTACCACTGTGGCAAGCTGGGAGGCCTCAGCATGGGTAGCTGTTGGTCTGCCTGTTCTCAGCCTTCACAAGAATTACACTTGAGCTGGAGTTTCCTGGACGAGGCTTTTTCCAAAAATAGCTAGTCAGGCTTTGCAGACATGAATGAACTCTAATAGAGCAGATGCTTCCCATAAAACTTCAGCACAAGACAACTACAACTGAAGCCTGTATTTGTGCTGTAGTCGTGTGCAGCAGCTCTGTCATGGGCCGTACTTATGGTGTGTGCCCTAGTCCTGAAAGCACTAAGAATGCTGCACGCGAGCTCCTCAATGTGTGTGGGTGTTTCTGTCTGGAAAATCCCAGATAGAGGTTTAAGAGCATGATGCTATGTGGTGATTCAGATCTTTTGTTTGGATTAGATTTCAGCCATGGCTATTTTTTTCCATAAAGCTCCCTCCATGCTGTCCTGATAAACTTGGTGTGGGGGAGGGATGGGGAGAGGAGCAGGACCAGGAGGACCTTCCACAATTTACCTAGTCTGTCTCTGCTTGAAGGCAGGACCAGTTTTCAAACCACTGCCAAACTTGACAGATGTTGCTTTAGCTAGTTTTCATGTAGCTTTATTTTTAAATGTGAGGCTCTTGAAGAGCAGATGTGATACAGAAATGTGGCTCTCCCTGTGCTGGCATTAGTTGTATCACTAAATCACAGTGTGCAAGATCAGCCTCTGGCATAGCATGATCTGTCGTTCTCTAATCTCTGGGAATTCGGAGCGCACAGAAGGATCACAGCATGTAGCACGACTCACAAGTCCCCTTTTTGGACAAAAGACTGGTCAGGAAAAGCCTATAGAATGTTTATTTTATGGGAGGGTAGGGAGAAACTCAATTCAAGTGTAACTTTCTTTTTTTCTTTCTCAGAATACTTAGGGTTATGGCCTACGATTTCAATTTTGAAGTTTACTAATAAAATGGATGAACCTACTGGATTGTGTCACTCAAACACTCTATAGCTACTTAGTCAGGCACTGTAGTTGACTGCAAAAAATTGTAAGACTGTTTGCTCTGCGTCAGACCAAAGCTTCCTCTAGCTGAGCTTTCTATCTCCAACACCTGGCCACCGCTGAATACCTTGGGAAGAATAACAGGACAAGTGCGTATGTTATGCCATATTAATATTGTCTCGAACTGCCCATTTTAAACTTGGAGGATTTCTGAAGCCTACTGTGGCTTGTTTGTGTAGCAACTTGCAATGACTCTCTTTTCCAAGCATTTATCTAGTCTTCCCTTGAATCCATGTGAACTTTCAGTATCCACAGCATACTTGGCAAGGACTTTCTCAGGTCTACTGCTGCCTTTGTTTATTTGAAATTGGCTCCCACTGGTTTCATTTGATGGCCTCCATTTGCACTGTGAAAGGCAGTGAACAGACAATACCTATCTGTTTCTCCGTATGACTATATGGACCATATGACTATAGCCTTTTATCCTCTCTCTCCCAAACAGTTTTCCAGGCTCGAGAGCGCCAGCAAACCTTGTTGTTCCTTTATCTTTAGCCTTGCAGTTATTCTTACTGTTCTTTCTTGAACCTTTCCAATTCTAAGATGTCCTACTCTGAGCTGAGGGGACGGAGAATACTGTATTGCAGCTGTGGGGGAACTGTACATGAGTTATGGAGCATGCACTGCATTTCTTTTGGAATAACTCTTAAGATTTAATTTGCTTTCTAGACTGCTGTCAAGTACTGAACTGATGATGTTATGAGGCTGTCTGTCACAGGAGTGAGACCCTGGGGTTACAGTCTACTCACAACCTATCATTTCATATGTGAAGCCAGGATTTTTTTCTCCATGCGTATAACTTTAAATTTCTCTACACTAAATTTCACCTGTCATCACTCAGTCTTGTGAAACTCCTTATGTTGTCTTCTCCGTGTTACATTACAGATGATTTCAACACAATAAAGCTAGGTGAGAACATTGTCACGTGACTAAAGATAAACCAATATTTTAATGGGTTCTTTTCAAAATTTCTTCCATAGGTTCAAGGCAACTCCAAGCACAGTGAAAAAAATGGATTTTCCAATGAGCATAATAATGCAGGCAGCGAAAAACTCCTCTGTAACTCTGCCCAAACACCTTTCTCCATAAAGTGGATTAGCCCAGAACAGAGGAGCCGGATGGTCAGAACTGTGAAGAGTAAAATGAAATCTGGACAAAGTGAAGCTCTTACTCCCAAGCAAACAAGCAACGTTCTTCACAGGCCCTTCTGTTCTTCTCGCAGTGGTCCAGCAGCCCCTTCCCAGTGGGATGCCACCCCTTTCCACGTGCACTCAAGCAGCAAGCTGAAAATGTCTCACCAGGAAAGCCAGCCTCCTAGGCAGGAAGCTGAGACTAATGTTGACACCGGCTTCACTGTGGTAAATGCTGACTGTGACCGCTCCCCTCTGAACC